CTCTGAGAAAATATTTTATTTATTATTTAGTTTACTCAGTGTTTCTTTAGCTGTAATGTTTTTCTCAGATGAACAACCAATTTTTCCGCAGAATGAATTAATCGGCCAATTCCATAGTTCAAATAATTCTAACCAATCGACGCCTAGTAAATTCGAATTGGAATTTTTTATGTAAACAACTGCGTTTTATTTTTACGCGTAAGCGTGATGTTACACGTGATTTTCCCATGAAAAAATAATTTCTTTCTCGATATTCCTCTTGCAAATTTGTCAGTTTTCCTCAATTTAGGCTTGCCAATTCTATTCCAACTTTGTTCATTAATAATTGTAATATCGCTATCAGTGTCCAGTTGAAATTTCACCGTAGCGATATTTATTTGTACTGTCATGAATTTTCTATTATTTGAACTTTCCAGTTTTTAACTGATAGCACTACTTTCAGCAAGATAATTTGTGTATTCCTTTTCCTTTTTGACTTACAACAGCTTCGTTTGTCACCTGTTTTTCCACACTGAAAACATTTTTTGGTTTTAAATGGACAGTGTTTCCTGAGATGAAGCATGCCATAGCATGGGTTAAGATTTACAGTATTTCTATTCTGGGTTTTTTTTTCCGCAACAGTCTGTATTGTTAACTTTGAAACCTGTTCAAGTTTTGTAAGTATTCGAGAGCGTATTTCTGCATTGTTGCTTGATGTCAGACCTTTAACGAAAATTAGACATTTAAATCTATCAGAGGATAATTCATCCAATTTAAAAAAAATTTATATGTGACGAAATCTTCATTTTCGTTCTTACTACTGTTCATGCACTGCCAACGTGTATAAAACAGTAAATTCTTTTCATCAAAGATTTTCGAAGATATCGAAGCTGTTTCGTTAAGTGACACCTTTTCTGGATTATGCGGCAAAATGAAATTCTGATAATTTTCATGTTGAGCGGGGCACAATTTTTGTAAGAATTTTTTCCACCCGACCATCCTTGAAATTCTTCTCTGAAATTCACTTCGTATCTTCTGAATTATGATAGGAATGTAATATTTTCTTCTGAAACGTAATTAAATTCACGAACAGCGAAAACAAAATTGACGCATTGTCTTACCTTGCTTTTTCAGGATTGCTTTTATCTGTTCTTGATATTCAATCCATTCCCGTTGCATTTGTTGTAACAATGCCTTCTTCTGTTGCTGAATAAATATCTATAATTCTTCTATAGTGTATTTTGTTTGTACAAGTAGTCTTTAACTAGGAAGAAAAAGGTTTTGTTTACGCCAATGGCCGTATATCATACAGCCTTGAAGATTTTTCGACTTCCGCGTCACGTTATGAATATACACGAACTCCAACAATTTTTTTACGTGAATTTTGAATTTTGTCAGCAATTTAAGCGAAGCGAGAGAAAATTTTTTTTCGTGTGAATTCGAATTCTCGTCGCCACTGTTATGTCTTCATTGCATTGAATGAAGATAATACAATCAAGAAGTAGTATGTCGCTTGAAGTCGACGTAGTCTTGCTGAAATCGGTAGCAAGCAAAGAGGCTAGATCTCAAACTCTCTACTTGTTTACATTTTCTACTGACGATACTCGGCGTCAGTTTATATGTATGTTATGCTAAATTACCCATACACAGATGGACTTTCCCAAGTTAAAATAAAAGCAGGTGATGCTTTTTAGAAAATGTAGTTTTCCAGCAGTCGGCTCTGACAGTTCGGACTTAACATTCTTGCGCGTTTGTATATTATTGTATTACTATTTTCCTGATAATATATTTGTTAACTTCTTCTCTTTTTGTCTTTATTTCTTGTCCGTCCCAACAAGGCTATAACAATATATTTGGACGTGTCCACGCCCTCTTCTGAAGAGGCGTGTTCTTTTCCACAATATCGTACTATTTAACCTATAACTGAAGGGAGAAGCGGTGAATGGCGGATCATAGTTGTGAAGGTTAGAACTAGTGGAACTAATGAATATAGTTTGTCTTGACATTTTCTGAACCTTTCCGAAGGATATTTGCGTATAAGTGAATAGAATGAGCTGAACTGGAATTGGAACTCGGCTATCCTATCTGAACCGTTCTCCATTACGAGACCTACACATCCAAGCTTACAACACCTGGTATTTCAAAGCAGTCACCCATTTAGCTACTGACACGGCTTGACGTTGCCTATCTTCGGTGGTCGTACACGAATTGGTTTTTCTCCATGATATGGCTGTAAGTCGACAAGTGGTCGAATCATTTGCTATTTGTGACGAGAAAGCAACCTGAGAAGAAAAAAAACAAAAAAACAGAAGGCTCTGAGTGATTCTATATTCAGGAGAAATATCTTCATTCATGGTTAGAATGAATGGCGGGAGGTGTGAGTGTGCATGTGTATGTCCTTTGTGAATAAAGCTTTAATTGCAGCCGGGATTGCGTCGACCGTAAAGCATCACTGGTTAGTGTCAATAAGGATTAATCTCGCTTAAACTGCGGGCATTTATGGTCAGTTCATCAGTAGATG